ATCCATCCATCCATCCATCCATCCATCCATCCATCCACTCTTCCACCCACCCATCCATCCATCCATCCATCCATCCATCCATCCATCCATCCATCCATCCATCCATCCACTCTCCCACCCAGTGGATCGATCCTTTATGTTTCATTCACTGTTTCTCTGTCTAGGGATGGATCAGGGATCCCTCCCTCCCATTGCTTGATTGGTATTTGAATTCATGCCATTCACCAAGAAGAACGTCTAAAATTAGGACCACAGTGCTGGACGCTCGGAGCCTTGAAGGCTGTCCTGAACAGAGCCCTCGTTCAGATTTTGGGGACTTGGCTGCTACGCCATGAGTGGAAGAAGGAAAACTCTGAGAATTATGTGCTGATGAACACGATGAAAACGTCAGAATAAGCCGAGCCTTGTTCTAGTCAAAATCTTTCGCAGTTCATCAGTGTCACTGATGAAGGCTAACAAGTGCCACATTCCATCAAAGACGTCTCTCCCATAAGGTGAAAGAGCAGTGCTTTTTCTGAGATAAGGAAAGAATGTTGGTCTGTTCGAATGGCTTCTGTTGAGGAATGATGTAATATCCTTGACAGGGCTCTGTTTGTGTTTCCCAACGAAACATAGTTGTCTGGGCCCTTCTTATTGGCATTTATAGAAGACATAAGAGAGCAGAATTGTGGTCTGGAACATTCCTCTTTCAGAACTCATCGTTTTGAGTTCTTCTGCCAGACAGTGGCTGTGCTGTACAGAAGGGCCCTGTGGAGGAGAATGAAGGGTGGTAACTATGTTCTCTCTCCTTTATTTGTTCTCCTTCGGGGTCGCAACCCGTTCGTTCCCTACCTTGAGATATTTTGCCTTGGGAAGATGTTTCATCAGGAGAAAAAGAGTCTCTCTCTCCCTCTCCCTCTCCCTCTCCCCCTCCTCTCTCTCTCACACACACACAAAGGTGTGGCAGTGATCCTCTCCTGGATCTTAGAGGAGAAAGTTCAAAACTTGCGCTAAGAAGAGAGAAAAACAGAAGCTCCCAGTGAAGGGGAAAGGTTAGCTTCACGACAGCCTGTGCTCAAAAGCTGGGCTGAAAACTCACCATCCAGCGAAGATCCTCCATACGGCGGCCATTTTCGGGTGCCTGTAAAGCAAGGAATCCGTCCAAAAACACAGTGGGGGCCATTTTCTTCAGCCAGTGGCCATTTTGAAACCCGACGATCAGCTGTTTGCTGATCGTCATAAAGCGAAAATCGGTTCCTGAGGCAGGGAATTTTTCCTGAGGCAGCGGATTTTTTCCATTTAAACCATTGTTTTGTGATCGCTTTTGCGATTGCAAAAACCTAATCATCAAGCGATTTCCTCATTAAGCGAGGCAATCATTAAGCGAGGCACAACTTTATATGCCTTGTTTTCTTATTTTACTTCCATTGAATTTTGCACACACAGAGAGAGTGGTTGAGAATGGAGGGAGGGAGAGAGAGATGATAAATGAAAAATGAAACCAGATCAGGCTCCAGACAAAACACAAGCAAGAGATGAGAGACCGGTGACACCCAGAGATGAATGAGTTAGCCATTTTTCATGTGGGAGCAGATGTCATTTCCCCAGCGTGTACAAAGGTACACAGATAAAGTCATTCTTACCTTGGCATCATTTTCCCCCAGAGAACAGAAAATCTCAGATCAGAAAAAGAAGTGGCTTCAAAATGGCAGCGGAATCCGTCACCGTCATGACCCGAAGACGGCGTGACGTACAAAGCTGAGAACATTACAGCACGAACATTCGTCTATCAGAGACGCAGCCTCTGTTACGGAAAGCATGGAAACCAGCAAAAAATATGTATCTTATCCCATTGCTTCAGAATGACAAGGAGACCTATTTTGCTCTCTGGCCCGTCCCCGGCTCCTGGGACCTTAATGGGTTGGCTCGCCTTACGATGGCCGGTCAACGTCGTTTGCAAACGGTAGGTGTTGTAGCTCTTCATGTTTTACAATATGGAGACCATTTTGCCCTCATATTTTTTCTCTCTGTTACGCTCCATATGCCTCATTGATGTGTGAATTCTCAAAGGGAGCAGCTCACTTCGCCCCACGGCAAAAGTGTCATCTACAATACACAGTTACAGCCGTTTCACATCTGTTTATGATGCATAATTCAGTGAATGACTGGGAAGTCCCTTTTGCAAGGAACGGCTGGATAGCTCGGCGGTTGAGTTCTCTGGCTGCGGAGCCCAAGTTCAACTGGGCTCCGCAGGTGGGAGTTCAATGCCCTACTGTGTTTCTTTGGCGGGGGGTGGACTTGATGACCCATAGGATCCCTTCCAGCTCCAGAGTTGTAGATGATATGCTTAAGGTTCCTCACCAAATGACAGATCCCCAAATTCCAGCACTTGAAGGGGGAGTCAATCTGCTCTTACTGTGTAGCCAAAAAACAATACAGTCCTCAAGAGGTTTAAAGACGTTGCTTTCACCGAGATTTAAAAGTTATACTACCCTTTTCCACCTTAGAGTATAGCCAGATCTCTGCGTAGGAGAGTGAGCGTTTAATCATATAACAAGAGCCAACGAATGAAATTTTGAAAGGTGCTTGCCAATATCTGAACAGAAGCCTAAATAATGAAATGTCCCTTGGTATCTATGTTTTGGAGTCTAACACTCAGTACTGGCTCATTTAGGAACTGTATTTATATTATAGCGATGCAGGTGGCTTTTTGAATATTTTACTTGGGTAGCTATTAGCAGCCTGAAAGGGGAGAGAGCTTTTGGTACACATTTGATCCACCTGTGGTCTAACAGCTGTAATTTTAATAGAACTCAAGCATCCATGGGTTCTAAAATGTGGATTGAAAATGTCATTCTGTGCTCTGTAATTTCTCTTCTTTTTAAAAAATGAATTACACTCTACCCCCCGATAGAATTTGTTGAAATGTGTTTTGTGCATGCTGTTCATGTTTTATTGCATTCCTCTCCATGCAGCTCTTTAGAGGTCCAAAATTATGTAAAAGGGAGTGTTCGAGCCCGACCCCGTTTCACTGCCCTCTGACCTGTAGTGTGAAAATGGGGTCCTCTGCTGGTGTTTCTGATATCGGTGTGGTGAGGAATTAAACCACTCTGGGTTTTAGTCCGAACTTTAAAGGTGTGAGATGCCAAGCTTGTTTTCGGGTTCAGCACCTTGGATAGCTCCTCTAAAGTTGACACCAAAACCCACTGCGGGTCCAAACAGAACTCAGCCCACATCTCCGAGCCTGATCCGGTTTGTATGGTTGTTAAATAGGTATTTCTTGCAACTTAGTTTTGCGTTTGAGGTGAAGGTTATCTAGCCCTGTATTTTCTTCCCCTCTGTCCAGTGGACAATTTTTGGTCATCCTTCTCTCACATGGTGACCCAACAGAGTTCAGGAACAATGGTGTCACTTGATGAGTTGTCTTTCCATGCGGAGGAAAAAAACACTTCTGAAACTAAAGAATCGCTCTCGGGTGTAGGGAAAAGTTACTCCATGCATTGTCTTCTTCCCACCCACCTACCCTCATCCATAATCCTCAATCATGCTGAGAAATTGCTGCCCAAACTCCCCCATTGATTTCTGCTCAAGGCGAATTACAGAACCTCAGGTGGACTCTCTCTCGGTCTTAAAAGCGCATCCCGGGAGAGCTGAAGGAGTGAGGAAAGGAGGGGAGAAAAAAAACACTTTTAATCAGCCAAATGCTTGAACTTTCTCCTGCCTTGGAAAGCAAATGCATTGCCCCTGCATTTTAAAGAGACCTTCCTCCTTTTCAAATTCCATTTTAAAAAAATTCCCGCTGAGATGGGAGTCCGGAGATAGAAAATGGTCTTTTCTTACTTCCATTTCTGGAGGAAAAAAAGAAAATGAGAGAGAGAGACTGATTTGTGACACTGCTGGGTAGGGTCAGCCTTGATTACGAGCCGGAGACAGTCCGGCTTTTTTGCTACTCAGGACCATCCTGATTACGAAGGGCATTCATAGATCAATTCAGGAGCCAAGCAAGTGGGTCAGAGCACCATATTTTACAGCTCCGTTGGAATGGACTGCACCACTGCAGAAGGCGGGTGAGGAATGGAGGAGTCAGTTATCTGGTACAGTGGTGCCTCGCTAGACGATGATAATCCGTTCGACTGAAATCACTGTTTAGCAAAATCATCATCTAGCGAAAAGCATTTCCCCATTGGAATGCATTAAAACCTGTTTAATGCGTTCCAATGGGGAAGAATCGTCGTTGTCTAGCGAAGGTCGGCAATAGGAAAGCCGCTTTGCAAACTGCCGATCAGCTGCTTAAATCGCTGTCTTGCGAAGCTTAGGTCCCGAAAACACCTGTTTTGCAAGCGCGGAGGGAGCTGTCAAAATCGTCGTCTAGCGAAAATCGGTTTGCAAAGCCGGGACCAAACATTGTCCAGCAAAATTCCCCCATAGGAATCAGTGTTTTGTGAATCGCTATAGCGATCGCAAGAAGTCAATGTCTAGTGAAAAAACTGTCATGCGTGGTAACTGTCTAGTGAGGCACCACTGTAGATTAAAATGAAACTAGCCAGTCATAAGAAGGCAAGCATACCAGAGAGACGAGTTCTAATCTAGACGTTGCCCACCCCCCAAAAAGTTTAATTTCTGTGTTGACATGTTTTCCCCTCAAGTTTCAAAACTGTAGATTCCTAAGATGGCTGTTCCCTGTGAGGTTTCTCACTGCTCTGCCGGTACCTAACAAAAACCTCGGTGGGGTGTACCTAAGAAAATAGCTCCTAATCTTGGATCCCCAGATGTTCCTTGACTACAACGGCCAGCGCAGCTAGTGGGAGTTTGGGTCTAAGAACATCTGGAAACCCAAGTTTGGGAAATACTGTCCGAGGAGAAAGGTCTGAACTCCTGGAATGGAGAATTATGGTATTTGTAGTCCAGAAAAGGAACAAAACAAAAAACTTACACACCTCTCTTCCTAAATAAGGCTACATGG